ACAAACCCAGGTGGGCTCATTTCAAGGGCTCAGTGCCTCACGTGGCTTACTGGTACAGTGGATGGCACCACTCAAAACTTCAGAGACACTTGCTCTTAACCTTCAGAGGAAGGTTAGGTTATAACTTTTATCATTATAGGGCCCCATATTATGTATAATAATGTAGGGGTTTGTTTCATAAGAAGTTTTTCTCAATTTCTTTTATTCACTATAACGAGCTTTGTTAATACACTTTCAAATACCAATGTCCAGAGTCTACTGAAAATGTCCCTTAGTAGGAAGAGAATCCTGCATTCTAGTTTCGTTTAGTTCTCCACACGTGTGAACTGCTGCCCCTGCCACTGGGCTATGCTTGGCATCACATGGATCCCCTGGGACTTAACAAAGATTTTCCTGCTGTTCTTTTAAGTGTCAAATCATGTTTGGCCCATTGCTCCAGGCCCACTGTATGTTGACATCCTGAGCATATAAGCACACATGAAGTCTGCATAGACTTCCTCCTGTTGAAACCCAGGAAAGCAAATGGAATCACAACTTTACTGACATTGATTTCCTGCCAAATAACAAACTGATGAGCCCTAAGACGCTTCCGGAGATGACAGCCTCCCAGAGCAGAGACGCCCCCAGCACATCTCATGGCTGAGAGACAGGCTACAGCAGTACACTTACCTTTATTTTCTGAAACCAGAATAAGCATCCACGTGCATTCCACACATTTCTGGAAAAAGCTTCCGAAGACTGTGTTTTCCTGATTTCTCTTCACTTTAAGAACTAACTCATGGGCTAGAGGTATGTCTCAGTGGTAGAATGCTTGCTTAGCACGTGCAAGATCCTGGGCTCAATACCCAGTGATATAAGCAGAACATTTAATAACTAAAAACATATATCTAAATGTTTGACACAGGAATCCCATAATAAACACGCTCAATTTACTAATGATTTTTTTAAAAGTCAAATCCATTTTGCATACTTGGCACAAATTTGACCAGCACTCACACAGATTGATCGGGACCTTTAATCCTAAAAACGCTGGCAATCTTGTAGGAATAGACACTGGTACGAAAGCTCGAGAAAGCCATCTGACTCTGTCCTTAAGGAGGTTTGTGTGGTCTTTCTGTACAGTCAGCAATTCCACTTAAGGTGTGGATTCACTCTTGTGTAACTGCACCAGAAGGCAAATGAAAGAATGCTCACAGCAAGGCTCAATGGCCAGCAACTGGAGAAAAGAAATTTATAAATTCATCTAGTAATTTTTAACAATGAAATTTCCCATCGCAATGGATGTTAAAAGAAACAAACAACCACAACAACAAAAACAACCCACTATATCTGGTTTAGTTCTGTTTATTATTCTTTATGGATACATACATGGAGACAAAACACTAAAGGGTAGAAAGGCTTCGATTCACACAAATACAGGTGAGGCTCCCTTTATTCAACAGGGAGAAAGAGAAGGTCAGGGAGGGGCCCAAGGGATGCCTAGGGGAAAAGGCAATAGGCAGGCAGCAGGCATACAGGGGTTGTTATTATTACTCTTTATACTTCAGTAGATATGTGTGTACATATGCATGTAGTCCACTGCATGTATAAAATCTAAACAGTCAGGATGGTTTTAATAAGGAACAACCATTAACATCCCTGAAGACGAGCTGTAGCCTCGAGTACTGACAACTTACCTGGCCTGTCACTGATTGCTGCTGTGTACGCTGCTTTCTTTTGCTCCCCTCACCCTCCTGCTCAGATGGGACCCATCACCTTGTGAGGGCTTAATACATGCTGGCAGAAAAGACAGCCATGCTAATCTCGCCTGTGTGTCTAGAACTGGGAAGCCCTCCCGCCGGAATCTGGGTCACAGGCAGGCAGGGCTATTTGCTGACTTCGTTTCATGAGCTGACACATTTCTGCCGTTTTAGAGCTTGTTGCCTTCGACCCCTCCTCCACCCCCCATCTGTCCTGGTGTCTAAGTTCTGCAATTGTTTCAGCCTCAGCCCCTGCTCTCCTTCAGAAATGTTCTCTTTTGCTTCCAAATGCAGCTCAAAGGAAGCCCAAGTGAGAGGATCATGGCCACCTATCGTATTTTGGGCATAATATCAGATAAACCACTAGAGTAGACTGAGTGTGCCTGGGAGACCACAGAATACCTAGACCAGTAGCTAAGACCCGCCTCAGCCCTGAGCTGCCTGGGGTGGGGTGGGGGGTCTGTTTGCCTCCTAGCTGGCCTCCCAGTGTGCCCAGGATTCCTTCTGAAGGGAGTGGCTGTATGAGCTCTGTACTTTAACAGTCCAACCCTTTTGTGGATGGCAGCAGAAACAGCTTCCTAGAGAAACAGGACCCAGACAACACCAGAATAAAAGCTGGAAAGGCAGTGAGAACAGGAAGAAACAACTCCAGTTTCAGAATGCCATGTTTTCTGGAATTTATTCTCCTTTAATGAAGACTATAAAATCTGAGATTTCACCAATGCCTTGAGAGACAGATACAAACAGACTGAAATCAAAACAATTACACAGAGTGAAGTAGACCCAGACACTTAGGGACAAACCTATATCAAAGTATTTCTAGAAAAAAAAAAAAACAAAAAACAAATCCCACAATAAAATCAAACAAACCAAATGAAACATAAAAAGTCTTTGGTACCTTTCAGTAACAAAAGAAAAAAAATCTTTATATGGTTAAATTCACACAATATAAAAGCAAAATGTTGGGTTAACGTTACAAAATAGAAAACAAACCCAAATGTATTAGCATCTCCAGGCAAAATGTCTCCTTTTTCTCCTCTTCGATTTTAGTAACCCCCCAGGATTTCACAAAGTATTTCCTGAACTAAATCTTCTTCTGGTCTGCAGACACTTGGCAGTGTGGCATTCCATGCTCACCTACGGTTTAAATGGCACCATTTGGTGTCAACAGCACATTTCCTTGGTCCCATAAGGAAGTCCACACTCTGCCTTAAAGCTGGCCTTACATCCTTGCCTGTACTTCTTTACTTCTCTCCTAGGCTTTGAAGATGGTGGTGAGCAAATCTAGAGGCAGCCAAAGGGAATGAGAAGACTAGTTCAGCCAAGTATGCAATCCTAGCACCTTGGGAGGCAGAGGTCTACATAGCATGACTCTGTCCCACGCAAGAAGCAATAGAAAGAGGGAAAGGAAGACGGGAGGAGGAAAGTCAGTCCGTCACTCAGTAAAGACCCAGTGTGCTCTACACACACCATTGCCTGGGAACTACGGTCAACTCCGTACCCTGGATTTCTAGCCACGGGAAGAAGGAACAACCACTAACCTCATGTTTTGGTTGCTGACTCTCCAGTGCTTGTTCAAAAAGAATCATGGCAAGAAAACGGTATGCAAACTGTGATAGCAATTCTAAGCACACTGTCTGCTCGGTGTTTTAACAAGGTCACAGCAGGTATGGTACGGCCAATCAGAAAGGTATACTGACACATCTGGTTAGCTTTCTGTCTCCCAAGTATGGTGATGCTCCTATAATCCAAAACATGGTAAGACTTCACTTTTCTAAACTGGTTCTTGGCACTCACTGGCAAGAATAGACTCAGTCAAGGTGAGCTGGGCTGATTTCATGAGATAACTTTAAAATCGCTCTATTTTAAATGGACATGTGTCTCGTCAGAAGATTCACAAACTCAAGCACAACATCCAGTTAGAAGAGAAAGGAAACAAAACACAAAAGTCCCTGGGATTTATCAAATGGAGTTTGACCTGGATATTGTTTAATACCAACTAGCCAGTAATATCCATGACTCGACAAGCTTTCTCTGGAGAGAAAATTTTATGTCAGCCATTTGGTCCATTCATGAAGAAAGCCGTCCTGTCTTCCGGCTGTAATAGGTCTGCAACTCTCAGGCTGGGATCTCAATGTTAGCATTCAAAAAAACGCCTCAGAACATGTATCAGAGCTCACGGTGCAGGGGCAGAGAGAGCCGCTAGCCTGCTCTTTCAATTTCTCAGACATTTCCTCTTCACAGTCAGAGTGAAAGGTCCCACATGACGCTGCTAGGGGTAGGTGGTGATTTCAGTCACCCCTGAGTTTAGTTTATCCTATTCAAGGCTGGCCCTATGTTTGGGTATTAACTCTAAAATATGCCAGGATGTAGAAAGATCATCTCTGCCCTGATGAACTAGAGCTGTCCCGTGTGTACCAGTGTCCACCCAAAGGGAGCAGGGATTTTGCTCCTCAAGATTGAGGGACGACTCCCTAGACAGCCCCCCTTCTCTCTATGCTCTCTGAAATCTCACTTGTTCTCATACATGAAGCAAGAATGTGTGTTTGTGTTATTCTGAAAAGTCTGAGACTGCGAACTGGTCTGAATATGAACAGAGAATAAATGGTAAGCAGAGTTGGTGTCTGTTTCCCGTGGCGCTGGAGCCGAGCGCAGCAGCTTGTGTGTGCTATGTAAGTCTTCTTCCGCTAAGCCCAGCCCCAGCAGTACTGGCGCCTTCTCATGCACTTCATCAACAGCTCACAAAATATATCTAACCGAGTATTTCCTTTCTCCAAAAATATAATCCCTTCACAAAATAGAACAAGCAGCTGTTACTCAGGGGAGCTGCATTAAAAAATATATGTGCACACGTGCGTGCGTGCGTGCGTGCATGTGTGTTTGTGTAAGTAAACTAGAAGAGCTGAAAATGCCTTTGCATACGGACAGAGCAAACTTTCTTATTAATTTACTTCTTAAAATACATCTCTCGAGCAGTCTTATGCATACAGTGAGATGTCCCCCTTGCGAGGGATAAGGAAGGAGATGTTTCCCAAAAGCAATTCTTTTCTGTCCTGTAACTTGGCTGTAGTAGTGCAATGTTGCAGCGGCGGTTCTGGAAGCACCTGTAGGAGCCTGCAGAATTGATGGGGTGAGTGTTCCCATTACAGAAAGGAGTTGAGAGTATCTAACTTCTTCAGCAGGTTATTACGAAGTACCAGAGTGGTGACATTTGTGATTCTGCAAGAAGAACCCTCAATGTCCGTCCTTTGCCAACCAGCATTGTTTTTTTTTTTTTTTTCCTTTCTGATTCAAAGACGTTACCATCTTGGCAAACTGGCTTCAAGGATACAATGCAGGCGGCTTAGAGAGGAATGGTTTTATGCAGTACTTGTGTCTAGTAAGATTTAGGGTAGATCCAACATCTTCTCCCCGATGGTACTGCCCTATTGGCCTTCAGTCATTAAGGAAGCAGACGATAACAGGCGGTGGTATTTTCAGGTGAGGCAACCGCAAGCAAAAGAGAAAAGAAGAAACTCCACCACCAGAGCCCCGATTAGCTTAGAGCAATCACGCAGTCCCCACCATCCCCACGTCCTCCAAAAACACCTTTTCCAGGTCAAGCAAGGTTGCCGATTGCGCGTGTGGCTTTGTCACAGTGATGCATCAGGTAAGCAGGTATGTGTTGAGTACCACGGTGCTCCAAATGCAACTCCATCACCTTCACCCTTTATGTCTAAGGCTCGGCCTATTACACAGAAGAGGGAAAAAGGCACAGTTCTTAGGCTACAGTGACAAGAAAATCTGTCCTTGGCAGCGCTCTCTCTCTCTCTCTCTCTCTCTCTCTCTCTCTCTCTCTCTCTCTCTCTCTCTCTCATGTCAGGAACAGAGATGGGGAGGTCATGAGTCACCCTCTATGGCTGACAGGAGCTAGTCCTGACTTTTAAGCCAGAACTTCGATTTCAATCACACACATCCAACCTCATTTTTCAGCAGCCACCAAGTCTCCTTCCTCTGAACACTGCTGTGCTACCAGCTCACAGCAGGTGGCTGTGAGCTTTCTGGGGCACAAAGAGGTGCTGGTTAGGATGATGCTGGGTGAATGGCATCATCAGAATGGCAACGTCATTCATAAAGCACCACTGTCCCAACTGTCCAGGCAGCACTCTCGTCTGTTCCCATGACCCAGTTAAACAAGGGTCCCCATGAAGTCACTGCAATTTGATCCAGATATGGCCAAAGAGTATGCGGTACAATCAGTTGTTATGTATTCTGAAAATCAGCCCATTGCTAGGGCTCTGGGTGCAGAAATTTCCGTAACAGGATCTGCTTGGAGTCTATTAGAATAATGAACTTTGAGCCCAGTCACTGCTGACTCCTGTCGCTCGGTTTTCCCTCCCTCAGGCTTCCACCTCTCCCAGCTCTGATGGAAGTGGAAACCCTAACATTGCAGCTAGAAACCCGCTTATCTTTTCCTTTAAGAAGTCCCTGTGCAAGACAAACAGCGTGTCCTGAGCCAGGGTGGCCATTAGGCCACCACTCAGTGATCACTGCCCTTCCCCGCTCTGTCCACTTTGGAGAGTAGTCCAGTCAGAGCCACCCCTGCCTGAGGGCCATCAGCACACTCTCCTACCTACTATGGGGGCAACTACAGATGCTACATGGGCTTCTGTGCCTCCAGGCTTTGTCTTCTATGTGTGCCTGCTGCAGTGGTGGGAGAGAGGACAGGGTCACTTCCGCTGTATCACAGCTATGACCGCTTTGTTCAAGCCGTCAAATGCAGACTTTATATGAATGCTAACAGTAAGCAACTAGAAAGGGGAACTGCTTACTAGTGTTTACAATTCCACCCCTTGCAGAGGAAGATGAAGGATATGTATTGCTGTGCCTAAGGCTCTGAGGGCTCAAGTGCCCAAGTGGCACGGATACTATGCCAGGGTTGTGTACTCTGCCCCAAGGGGTCCTACCTAGGAACTCCATTTACAGGCCCTTTATGCCCTTTGAGGGATAAGCTTCAGTGTGTCTAAGACCAAATATCACTGCTCAGGCACCATGTGAGGATGAACTCTGCACAGACCCCCAACTTCCCTTAAAAATGCTAAGGAGAAGACACTGTGGGGTTTCATTACTGTTTTGAGCTAGGGGCTCAAGTGGCCCAGTCTGGCCAGGACCTCACTATAGAACAGAGGATGACCTTAAACTTCTGATCCCCCTACAGCTCTGCAGAGTTAGGGTTAAAGGGATGTTGCATGCTGGGAATCAAACCCTGGGTATCATACATGCTAAGCAAGCATGTAATGACTGAACTACAGCCCCAGGCTAATTGTCTAAAGAAAACAGAACAAAACAACAAACAAACAAAAAACAACAGCTTGCTAAATCTCTAAGGAACTGCACCTTTGGAGAACATGAGAACAAAGACGGCAGGCACATTGCATTTTCTAGGAGGTTTTGACACAGACAATGGTGCCTACTGGGTTCCTGCTGCCATCAGGTAATCCTTGCCCCAGCCACTGCCCACCTCCAGTTCTCTGAAAATAAATCTGGATTATTTAACATCTTTAGGTGAAATATTTCATACATGTAACCCATTTTTCTAAGAAATATTCAAATGTCTAACTTGTACAAAAATAGCTTTAGGAACCTGTAAATACTCTCTGCGTGGGCGTGCCTCTGTGAAGCCTGTGCACAGGAACCACCCACAACCCATCTGCAGGCTTGCTGATGCTAAAACAAAGCCCGTTTACCCAGGCGCTCTGCTCCCCAGGTGCTGCCAGAGGAATTCTATTATTGATGGCCTCTGCTTTCCTCCTACAGGTGCTCCTGAGATTGTACCTGTCCCAGGCAGCCTCAGAGGACCTGTTACTTACAAAGTTCCCAGAATACACTGCAGGTTCAGCTGTGTTAAAAATACACGCTTTAGAATTCCCCTCAACCTGAGCTATAGAGCCAAGCCTCGATTACTATGTATAGAAAGAAAAATGGAAAAGTGTCAATGTGGTCAGTTCTGGGTGGTGATTTTAATATTTTATTTTATATGTATTTATACCTTTCCAATTTAAAAAAAAATAAGCCTAAATTACTTTTCTAATCCCCAAACCAGTGTTTTTAAATGAAGTAACCAAACTATTAACTTATTTGGTAAGTATTATTGTTTTAAAAAGTAAATCTTGTGTTTTATATAGTTGTGGGAATATCCATTATTTCTAAGTCTTAGCACAAGACAAACTCAGGTTCTTCGTGTTTTTTATTCCTTGACTTTTTGTTTATTGAAACTTTTTTTGTTGTTATTAAAAATTTCTGCCTCCTCCCTGCCTCCCATTTTCCTCCCCCTCCCTCTCCAGTCTTCGTGTTTTTCAAAAGTCATATGACTCAATAAAGAGGCTTTAAAAATATTCGGATTGGTTTAGGAACTGCACGCTGTATCTCTTTTTGTTTCATTCTGGAGATGCCTCTCAAATGTGGCTTTGCTTTTGCTCGTACATAAAGCTGCTGCCCCTTGGCATCTGTGGTGATCCGTCTCAGGGCATGGCTGGGACCCCAGGATTCTCTCTCTCGTCTCTCTAGTTCACAGTACCTGTAATTCAGCCATGTATATCTGCCCACATGGAGATGTTATGAACAAACAGATATCTACACAAACAGGTCTTATGCTGTGTTATTTAAGAAATAAAGACAGGAAGGCTCAGTACTTGGGAGGCAGAGGCAGAAGGAGCTCTTGAACATGAGTTCAAGGTTAGCTTGGTCACCATAATGAGCTCCAAGACAGTCAGAGGCAGAAAGACCCCATCCCAAAACAAACAAACAAACAAATAAACAGCGACAAGGCCAGGAGAAAGGAAGGCTGAGTAGTTCAGTACAGATATAACATTGCTTCAATATTTACAATCCGACAAAACAAATTACAAGTGTGAAATCCAGACACACAGTAAAATGCAATGTGAATTTATGATTCAAACAGAAACTAGCTACCTATTTTGCTACCTTAAATTACTCTTCCAAGAACAGGAGTATAACTTAAAAGTAAACTAATACTCTGATTTAAAGAAGCTAAAAATTAGAAGGAGGCATTTAGAGGAGTTAAAAAGTGTGTTTAACAATGCAGTCTATATTTCCCAGGGACTCAAAGTTTAGGGGGAGTAGAGATGTACCCTCTCACCCACCTCTAAGGTCCATTCCAGCCAGATAAGCTCTGGACGAGAGTACAGAGGGTTTACTACCCTGGACGCCAAAGCAGGAGTAGGAGGGTTGGCCTACCCTGAATACAGAAGGTGAACCTACCGTGGATGCTGGCCGCGGCTTCAGGCCTAAAAATGAAAAGACCGTGTTGCTCTCCTTTGATTCAAAAAAACTGTCATAGTCCTAGAAAAAGAAGAAGAAATAAAACCAATGAGCAACAAACAACAATTATCTTTATAGTTGATGCTTTCAAAATTCCTACATAGAAAGAAGTAAGACAAGGAAGACCCACATGCACCTTGTGGGTTCAACATACTAGAGTTGAAAGGGCACACCCTTTAGTGAGAACACAGATATAACAAGATTTTTCTCTAATTCAAAACTAGGACAGCATTAAAATTTGGCAGCAGAAATAAAAGAGAAATCGCATTCCCCTTTCTTCAGGTGTCAAATTAGAACTTATCCATATGGACTCACTTTGACTTTATAGTCACTCTAGACGCTACTGTGGACATGGCCTTCCAATGCCATGCTTTGATGTGGGATTCCCCTCTGTACGCTGTGAATACCATTGGTGAATAAAGAAACTGCTTTGGATCTACAGCAGGGCAGAACTTACGTAGATGGGGAGACTAAACTGAGAGAAAGGAGGCAGAGTCAGAGGGAAGCCATGGATCCACCGCCAGAGACAGAGACACACTGAAACTTTGCTGGTAGGCCACAACCTAGTGGTGATACACAGATTAATGGAGATGGGTTAAATTAAGATGTAAGAGTTAGCCAGTAAGAAGCTAGAGCTAATGGGCCAAGCAGTGATTTAAATCATATAGTTTCTGTGTGATTATTTCAGGGCTGAGCAGCTGGGAACCAACAAGCGGCCTCTTTATAAAAATGCTTGATACTTTGCTACCCAAGAGTTAAAAACAAAGCAAAAAAACAGACAAAAAAAAAAAAAAAAAAAAAAAAAACACCGGTAAGCTGTAGAAAATTCACAGGGGTCTGCAAATGTCAAGTCAGTTAGAATGTGAAGGCTTCTATTCTGCTTTTCAAGTTTCCTGGGGACAGGCTCAGAGGAAAAAAGCAGAATGCTATAGGAGGTGGGAAAGCTGGCTCCTGCTGGCGCTGCGCCCTTGAACTTCAGCGGCTCTTTGTACTGGGCACAGTGTCAGCTCAGGAGGAAATGGGCATGGGCACACACATCCTGGTCGCTGAGCACAATGAACTCCTGGCCGAGCAGAGCCAATGATATTATAAATACATCTGAAATCTAAATGAGCCCACAACTAGGAAGTTTAGCTCTCACTGAGGCCCGTTTGATTAAAATTGTGTAAACTATCATATTTGGTTCTGTGGACAGCCCCTATCAGCAAGGTGAGTCCATGGCCTTCAAAGTAACCCAGATTCTAACCAGCAGGCATCCTGGCCTCGGGTTTATGTAGCTACTCCTCTGTCATTTACGGACCAAACCAAGGAGGAGCGTGTCTGAAAGGAGAGGCTCAGCACGTTGAGTACAAGTCTCACGGATAGAGTTTGCCCCGTAAATGGTTGGGAACAAGGACATTAAGGGCAAGGACAGCATGGGAAAGCAGGGAATTGGCAGGGTGCCTCGCACCATGTGTGCTGGGTTTTGTATAATTTTACCTTAAACACAAAGGAAACAGCATAAGGGTTTTGAAACAGGGAATAAAACGATCTCACTTCTATGATAACACTCATATGAAGGGGAGCATTAAGAGAACTAGAGAGAAAGCTAGGGGGTACTGGTGACTCAGGCCAGTAATGGTCCCAGCCAGGACCAGAGCAGAGGCAGTAGACAGGGACATAGGCAGAAGCACATCCCCAAAGCAGAAACTGATAGTCGGTTTTGGATTGGACATGTAGATGAGGGAGAACTGAGAACTAATGTGACTCTTGGCTTTAACCTGATGATGGGAATTTTGGCAGAAAAGTAGATTGTGGGGGAACTGGAGTTGAGCTGAACATGTTGTTAAAGACTCATAAGACACCTGACTGAAGCAGATCTTTTGTTTGTTTTTGAGACAGGGTTTCACTGTATAGCACCTCTGGATCTCGTGCAACTTGCTGCAAACCAGGCTGGCAGGCTGCCCTCAAACTCAGAGATTCACCTGCCTCTGCCTCCTGAGTGCTCGATTACATGTGCCCATCACCACCCAGCTTGAACAGATCTTGATGAGGAATCAACGCTTGCTAGTGTTGCTAGGACATTGCGTATTTTATTAAAAAGTTGCTCATCTAGAACATATGAGACAAACAACATTATACACAGGACTAAGCCGCAGGTATAACACAGGAAAAGTACCCAGAAGTAGAACAAGACCACATTCTTTGCTGCAAAGCTTTTTATTAGAAGGTAAACACTGCTTTTCTGATCCAGGCTCAACACCCTGTCTAGTGTGCTTTCCTTCCCATAACCCACTGACGACCGTCTGCAGGCACAGGTGAGGGCTACGCTACAGCTGGATTTCACCCATCCTCCTGTCAATCACCCACTGTAGGAAATTCAATGGATCTGACCCTTTCTCCACCATGTTCTGCCTCTGCCCTATCTACGGTCTTTTCCAGGGGCATCTCTAACGGAATTCACTTCTAGCTCTGATCTCGGCGACATTCTAGATCCATGCAGCAAGCTGATCAGCTCAAGCAAACCCCAGTTCCAGGTCTTCACTCTGCACTATGCATCTCTAAGAAAGTGGTCCAACTCTAATGAGCATCCCATGTCCTACATGAGTACTGCACACCCTAACAATGAGCACTGTACGTCCGTCTTACAGACATGAGACCCACATATCTTACACACATGAACACCGCACAACTTACACACATGAGCACCACACGCCTTACACACATGAGCACCGCACATCTTACACACATGAGCACCGCATGCCTTACACACATGAGCACCGCACATCTTACACACATGAGCACCGCATGCCTTACACACATGAGCACCGCATGCCTTACACACATGAGCACCGCATGCCTTACACACACGAGCACTGCACATCGTTCTTACACAAGTGAACAATACACGTATACAAATCAGCACTGCACATCTTGTGTGAGGCATCACAGGTCTTTTCTTCCCATCATCATCCCTTAAGCCTCCCCAGTTTTCTGTATTTGTCTTCAGCAGACCAACCCAAGTTGGACTTTTACCATGGGACCTCATTATCAGCCCTTGCCTAATCCCACCTATTTGTACCCAATGTCATATTCTGCCAAGGAGAAAACACTGATTTTTGAACAATGCACATTTGACCTTTTACACCTTTTCTTGCAGATTTTGAGTGTTCATGAAGTACAGCCTAGGATCCTCAACCCGGTCTTGAAGGCCCTGCCCACCCCTTCATTTGGGGGAGACGAAGGGCCCTTTAATCAAGCCTGTACTGACCAGTATTCACAGATTCATTTATAGAAGATGGCAAAGGGACATGCTCAGTCGTGGCCAGTGGTGGGCACAATGCATGTCAGGTTCACAAACTTGACTGGCAGTGACACCTCCCCGGCTGTCTCCCCTGCGTCACATGCTGCTTAAGTCACTGGAACTACAGACTCGGAGGAGCTGCCAGAAGCAGACTGACGCTGTGCCCGGGGCCAGGCCCCACCTGGGCACTGCTATGGTTATAGATGACTACTGGAAAACCTGGATTTTCCTTCTTTCCCCTTTCAGAAGAATTTAGCTGTGATACTAAAATATTACACAAAACAGTAAAGGACTTACAATGAGATTTGATGTTTATACATCAGGAATTACCTGTAAATCCCAAAAATGATAATTCCCCAAATCACAAATTTAAATAAAATAAACTTTCATACACTTTTCAAGTAACACCTAAAAATATAGACAGGCAGAAAAAAAAAACAAGCAACAATATCAATAACCCACTTATCCACATTGAAATGAAGCCAGTCTTACAAGTTTTGGTCAATAACAAAGGTATTTGCAAATGTCAGATATTTAAAAATCCCATTTTATAAATTTCTAACTTATGAAAAGAACATTCTCCTAAACTATATTTCTTCACAAAAATGATAAGTATTTTTTTATTCAATCAATGTTCAGCTCAATGCCATGTAGCTAAGGCTAGGGGCCTTCTGGCCTGAAAAGTGCCAACCAGTGATATTTCACTCGTATTTTAATAAATAAAGCCTGCCTAAAGATCAGAATGCAAAACAGCCACACTAGTCGTTCATACAGGTCAGGCAGCGGTGGCACACACCTTTGGTCCCAGCAGCCACACTAGTTACACTAGTTAGCCACAGAAACCGAGTGGTGGTGCACGCCTTTAATCCCAGCACTAGAGAGGAATATATAAGACGAATGTGCTCTCTTCAGTCTGAAGATTTCATAGAGGTAAGAGCTTTCTAGTGGCTTGGCTGCTTTGCTTTTCTGATCTTCAGGCTGAACCCCAATATCTGTCCCTAGCTTTTTATTATTTGTATTACAGGCTCAGACTCGCTAAGAGATTAGGAATCTTCATTAAGATAACCCCAAGAGAAAGCGACAACTATCAAAGTTAGTAATGAGCTATAAAAGCAGAATAATTTATAGCCATTGAGAACTTTACAGTATTATTCTGTGTGTGGATGTGGAGGAGGCGTGGTCATGCCATGACACTTGGAGAAAGAGAGAGGACAGCTGTGTGAAGTCAACTTCCAGGGATCACACTCTAGGGGTCAGACCTGCACAGTCATCAGGCTTTCTAGACTACCCAGCCAGACAGCCAGACAGCCAGACAGCCAGACAGCCAGACAGCCAGACAGCCAGACAGCGAGCCAGCCCAGAAAGTAATTCTTAAACTCGGTATCTGGCTTCTACCAGACACATCAGATTACCAATGAAACCTATGTCAAGTGAACGGATCAATTGTGTTTGTTAATTATTGACTGGCGTGTCATGTGTTGGCATTCAAAGGCTTTTTACAGTCCTGTTGAATCCTAAAGAACGTAAAAATAAATGGTTTTGGTCTTATTTGGACAAAATGAAGTGCTGAAAATTTAGTTTAGAACCTTTTAATATTCCTTTCAGAGTTAAGCTATATGACATGAAATCATTTAAGAGTAACACAATCACAGAATTTTAAAAATTAAAATATATTTCTTATTTATGATCTTAGGCCATAATGTGTTCCAATAAGAGTAAAATAATTAATGCTTTCTTA